GAAGACTTCGGCGCTCGCTTTGATGGAATGGTGAAGGACACGAAAACCTTACTACAACAAGGCAGAGACAGGCTACTGATCGTGCGCACAGGCGAGGATGTTTCCACCATCGACACATCTTTGTACAGCCTGGAGGTCCAACCCTCTGCCGCGGGGAATAGGCGCTTCTATCTTGGCGAGCCGATCTCCGTCAAGTGGCGTGCACCGAGCACTCATTCTCGTCGCGACTGGATCGGCATCTATCTGGTCTCGCGCCTTGGCGGCCCTCGAGGAGCAGATGGCGAGCAAGCTCTTGTCACACGCATCTCCAGCCACGGGAAGTGGGTCGGCGTTGCAGAAGATGAATGGGACGGCGACGTGCACAATGGTGCTTTGCCGCTGACACCAAGCGCTGCTCCAAGCGGCGAGGTGGAGAAGAGCTTGGGTACGCCAGCACTTCAATCAGGTACTACACTTTTCAAGGGTGCCAAGTTGCCATGGCAGGAGGGTATCTACGAAATTCGCTATCACCACGATGCGAAGCACAATGTTCTTGCTCGAAGCAGTCGCCTAGAGATTTATGGTGAGTGCTGATTGCTTGCCTGCTTGTTCGACCTCCTAGTCGCTGATCACGCGCTGCCTTGTACACAGTCGATAAGCCTGCCGACCCCACGTCTTTCGAGAAGACATACGCCGTGTTGGGAAAGATTGTGTTGGCCGCTTTGGACAATAACAACTCTTACGCCCCTCGATCTCAAACAGGCCGGCCTCAAGCCGAATTCATGCCTGAAGGTCGCACCTCGGACGAAGACCCCGACGATTTCACGATTTGGGACCGCGCACAAGCCAAGCGAATCGCTTCCGGAATCCAGCAAGCCTTCGACGTCGATTATTCAGTCGATGTCGTCGTCGCAGTGGCAAACTTGCGCAAGCTGGCGCACGATATCGTTGAAGCGAGGCAAGTACTGGACCCTAACTTCCGTCCAACGCTCTTGCACCAATGAAGGGCTGAGAGCTGCAGCGCACTTCGGCGC